ACATTCTTGATATAGCTGTGCATTTCCACAGTTATACCTTCATTGAATTTTTTTCCACCACCCCTTGTGTATAGTCTTTCTTTTCTTTAGCTCTTTGTATTGCTTCAAGAACTCTCTGAAATGCTGGTTTTTTGGACATGAATTCTTTCAGCCCATTTTTGTCAGGGGGAAAATTTTTTTTTCCCCTTCGACTATTTTAGACATTTTGGTTGGGTATAGTAATCTGGGTTGACATCTGTAGTCATTTAGAACTGGGAATACTTTGGTCCAGGTTCTTCTAGCTTTCATAATTTGCACTGAAAAGTCAGCTGTAATCTTTATGGCTTTTCCTTTACTTTTACTATGATGTGCCATGGAGAGTTTCTTTTCTAGTCCTGTCTATTTGGTGTTCTATATGCTTCTTGTATTTATATGGGCATTTCTTTCTTTAATTTTGGGAAATTTTCTTCTACAATCCTGCTGAAGATTCATTCTATACCTATATCTTGATATTCTTCTCCTTCCTGCATGCCTATGATTTGTAAGTTTGGTTTTTTTATGGTGTCACACAACTCTTGCATATTACATTCTTGTGTTTTCTTAAATTTTTCATAATCTTTGCTTGAGTGGTCTAATTTCTCCCCTTTATCTTCCAATCTTCATATTCTATTTTCCATTTCACTCATCCTATTGGTGAGGCTTTCTCCTGTCATCTCTAATTGGCTTACTGAGTGTTTCACTTCCTTCTTCATTTCAGCCTGAGTAGTCTTCAATATTTCTCTTTTCTGAATTCATTCAGAAGTTTATCCCTATCTTCCTTCAGACCTTTAATTTCTTTGTGTGTTCTTTAAATTCATTGAATTCTTTTATCATGTTTATAATTGTTCTTTTGAGTTCCATGTCCTGTGTTATCTCTAGGGAGTTCTCATGATACTACTCTGGAGGACTGTTGATACTTGGTGGGGTTATATTATTTTGGTTTTTCATGTTATTATTTTTCTCTGTGACTTTGACATATGAATTTCTTTTGTAGCTTCTGATTCTTGTGTGAGACTCAAGCCTTCCTTTGCTAAATTAAGATCTGCCTCTTTTTGTAAACTTTATGTACCTTTGTGGTTTACTTGTTGGGCATGAAAAGGTGGTTGGTCTAGGCTTCAGGTTCTCTCTTTTGATTTTATAATGGAATGGCCTAATTGCTTTTGTCTTCAGGATTTCTCACAGAGGCCCAAATCAGGTGAGGCTCAGATTTTCTCCTGCTTTTTCCTAAGGTCTGGATCCCTCCAGGAAAGATGCTGCCCTCAGGAATTTGGGGGCTGGTCTGGCCTGGGAGCAGGGCCCAGGAAAGATGCTGGTCTCAGGAAGCTGGTGGCTATGCCACCCAGAGATGCAAAGAGAAGTGGGAGCGGGAAGAGGCCCTTAGGGCTCCTGGGGACTACTGGGAGGAACTGGGTAGGTCTGGATGCAAAGGATCAGGAAGCAGTGGTGGCTCTGGGTGAGAGGTTAGCCCCAATGTCTGGGGTGCCAAGACAAGAAATGGGCCAGGACCCAGGCTAGTTGGAGAGATGTGGTGAGGGAGCTGGGAGGGTAAAAGAGGCTGGGGGAGTCAAGGCGGGTGGGCACACTGGACTTACCCAGGAAGGGTGCTGGCACCAGGACACTAGAGGCTGTGCAGCCCAGGAAGTAAAGGGAGGTGAGGGTGGGACCAGGCCCAGAGGGCTCCTGGGGACCACAGGGAGGAACTGGTTTGGTCCAGATGCAAAGGCTCAGGAAGCAGTGGTAGCTCTGGTCTGAGAGGTTGCCCCCCTCCCCGCCTGTGTCTGGGGTGCCAAGACAGGAAATGGGCTGGTACCCAGGCTTGGGGGGGGGAGCTGGGAGGTTGAAAGAGGCTGGGGGAGTCAAGGGGGTGGTGGGCGTGCTGGACTTACCCAGGAGAGGTGCTGGCACCAGGACACCAGGAAACAAAGGGAGGTGAGGCTAGGGTCCAGGCCCTGAAGGCTCCTGGAGACCAGGAAAGGTACTGACACCAGGACGCCAGAGGGTGTGCAGCCCAGGGAAACAAAGGAAGGTGAGGGTGGGACCAAGCCCAGCGGGCTCCTGGGGACCAGGAAAGGTTCTGGCACCAGGATGCCCTTAGGCTGTGCAACCCAGGGAAGTAAAAGCGAGGCTGTTTTTATAAGACTCTTTACTTAGACAGTCCTATGGGCTTCCATCAGGAGGATCAGAATATCTGCCTATTGTGCTGTGATGTGGGCAGCCATCAGTTATGCCTAGGTCTGTTAATCCATCAGAGATTACAAAATGGTGACAGTCTTACTCTGTTACCACTCCTGTACCAGGTGGAGCACATCTGTGAAGAGAGACTTCCCTCGGTGCATGCTTGCTTGGGAAAAACATGGTGAGGTTGGAAGCGTTTGGCAAGGGAGGTTCTTTACTTCATGACAGACAGGAAGCAGAGAGACCTTCAGATGTGATTTACACAGGGACATTTAGATACATGGTTGATTATTTACTGATTTTAGAACAGTAAGTATATTTCCCAGTATTTCCTGAAAGACATCTTCCCCTCTCTCTTTTTTCTTGAAAAGATAAAAATAAGGGTTGGTATTTCTACCCTCTAACCACTATAGTCCTCCACTCTACCAAGTGAGCTATTACTGAAGGTTCTTCTTTGGAAGAATGGTATTTATGTCTTTTGATTTGACTTGATCATTTGAGCTGTGGAGATTGCCCATATGCATGGCAGCTTCCTCTCTGGTGTGAGTGGTGGAGACCTGGGAGACAACTCGAGGGACTGTGAGAATGAATCTAGACTTGAGACCTAGGCATATCTGAACTTACATCTTGGTTACTTCCTAGCCATGGGACCCTGGGAACATGTTTTGGCCTTCCTGATCTTATTTTCCCATAAGTGTGATAGAAGTTGATGATGGCTGTCTCTTAGGGTTCTTGTCAGGATTAGGTAAGATGATAAGCAACCCAGCCCAGGACCTGACTCATGTTGAGACCTAGGGAAACCTATCTTTTCCCAATATTCTAGAGAATGCAATCAGCTTTTCTATCTCCCAAACAGAACTAGCTTGCTGAAGTGTGACAGTCTGCCATTGTCCTTTGGACCTTAGGAGTCAGATGTTTTTGTTGGGGACTAAGAATCCCTGTCAAAGGAGGTATACATGCCTCTTTTCCTGGGTATGGAGGGTCAGTTGCATGTCAGTTGAGGGGAGGGAGGAGTGCTTGCAGGGCCTGGGAAAGCACATGGCAACAGGAACTCTCCTAGCCTGTGGGGTCAGGGAAGACCTGCCTGCCTACCTTTAGGTTTGTATTTGATTTGAAGAACAGGGGACAGAAGGTACAGAGAGCTGTGAGAAGAATGTCCCACCAAAGGGAAAATTATATGTGAATCTTGGGTGAGGGTAGAGAGCACACAGGGCTCTTGAGGAAGAAATGGTCTGGTTTTTAGAGCTGAAGACCATGGACTGTAGTAATGAATGACAAGGCTGGGCTGGATACTATCAGGCTCATGAGCCATGCTGAGGTTTTAAAACTAAAGGGTAGTGGAGGCCACTGAAGCGTTTTTATACCAAGAATATAATCAGGTTCATATTTATGAGAATCACCCTGTCAAGAGGAAAATTGACTACAGGAGACAAAATAAGGAGCCAAAAACCCATGATAAGAGATGGTTAAATTGTCCGGGACCGAGACAGTGACTGCATGGGTGAAATCACAACAGGACAGAGGGAAATGGGAAGATACTTGGCTCTGTGGGAAGTCATATTGGATATGCCTCAGGGTGGCATGTGGGTGGTAAAGCAGGGCAGGCCAGTGCTGGAAGAACAGCTTCCCTGGCAGAGAGCTAGGCCTATACATCTGCAAATGAAAGGTCATAGGCCCTAGACCTCACCTTGCTCACCTAAACAGGAGCAGTGATGGTAGTCCTCATGAAGCCCCAGCAAGTTAGAGGTCAGCTTTTTTGCATATGAAGCAGTAGTGTTGTGCCTTCAGCTCCTTGATAGCCTCCCTAATCTCAGATGCCAGCTGGAATGTGAGATGAGAAGATAGGGTGGTTCTCTTGGTTGGACTTGGCTAGGCCAGAGTGGAGGGTGAATTTGCATTTTTCTTTCAACCTCTTTGCACTTCACATTTCCTTAGACCACTAAAAAATTACAGTGGATTTTTTGCAAATGTTTTTGCCACCTAAAAATGTGAATATACAAGAGATAAAAATATAAAATACCTATTATTGATGTATTAGTATTATGACCCATAGAAATTGAATATTCATATGAGACCAGTTTTTTAATGACACACTTTAAACATTGTTGTGTAGCGTTTTGATCTTTGGCCTATCATACCTACATGTGGTTGATGGTGACTTCCTGATTTGTCCTAGTAATGAATTGGGTGAACTTGCCACATGCCTGTTGCTAGGATGTCCCCTTCATCAGTGGGAAATAATTCACCAGAGGGGAAAAACATTTGACTGCTTGGTTGTAGAAGTGATCAAAGTGGACTAAGCACAAGAGGTTGGGTTCTCTTCCAGATCAGAACTCTAGCATTGATTCAGTGGCTACAGAAAGTAAGTCAGACTAGGGTCTCTCATTCTCTATGGTTCCAAGATGGCACGTACAGCTGTCATATGTGCATTCTAGGCAGAAAAGGGAGAAGAAGTGAGGAGGAACAATGAGGTACAGTGCCTCCTAACTGGCTGTCTCACCTAAAAAGTCTATCGTTCATCTCATGACTCTTAAGAATGACTAGTAATGGTAAAGAAAGCTGAAAAATGAATTATTCTTAAGGAAGCCAAGCAGAACTCTAACTCAGACCATTGTCTTCGCAACTGCAGAGGGGTGTACATAGGAAGGAAAGAAGGGATACCAGGCTGTCACAAACAAAGTCTTGACGTCAAGAAGCCCTCATTGTGTGTGTATGTGTTCTGTGGGACAACTGTGTACTTTACTGACTAGTTATCCCCAGCCCCTTGCCCTTACTTTTCACACTTTTTTTTTTGTCTGTTAATCCAGGCCATTGGGAATGCCAAGACCACTCGTAACGACAATAGCAGCCGCTTTGGGAAGTACATTCAGATTGGTTTTGATAAAAGGTACCACATCATTGGGGCCAACATGAGGACCTATTTGCTGGAGAAATCCAGAGTAGTTTTTCAGGTGAGTGATTAGACTCAGCCATTTTGTATTTTACCCCTCAAACTAACGATGACTCAAGTGCTGCTCCCTGCTCCACAACTGCACTCAAAGAGCAGTCTGTCTTTTGACCTAGAATTGGATTTTCTTCTTTTTATGCGTTTTCTTTCTCCTCTTTTCGTATAAGTATTCATTTGGATGGAATAAGCATAAAGTCTCAAAAAATCTTTTACATAGTATTTATTTTCACATTGTGTGCTAACCCCATGAGATGTGGAGGTAAAGAACAAGGCAGGTGTTCTTCTATGGATTTTAATCTTAGCATTAGACAATAACAGGAACAGAATCTGGGTTTCAGCTTTCAAAGAACCTTTTTATCTGGTGGGTTTAAATGTGTATGTGGATAGATAGCTATGCATTTATGTTGAAATGATACAAATGCATACACACACATGACATACACATGACTGACTACCTATTAAGTTTCCTGACAAACCAGGAAAGGAGTTTTCACTGCCCCAGTGTAGTTCTTGTTGGTTTTCTGCTTGCCTTTCATTTCCTCCCATCCAGTAATCCTTGTCCTCTTCCTGACTCTTTTCTTCCTGCTTTTAGGAATGGTCAATGCCACTTGCAACCCTGACCACCATTATCCTGCAGCAGTTTTGTCCCCCCATTAATGAACTGAAGTAGCAGTGGTGGCCTGATTCAGGCCTGAAGCTTGTTTTTCCCTGTGCACAGCGGCTTCCCAGTCCTTAGGTTTCAGCTCTCTTCAGTATCCATCAACTTCTTGTTTTTTGGTGATGTTACTATGCTGATGGGTTTCAAATATTTTGTGAACTTTTTAACTAGCTCCCCCTTCCATTTTCTGCCAGGACTTCTGCTGTACTTCACAGGTTGGTGTTATAGCCCTAGATCCTTCACTACAGCAGAGGGAGCAGGCAACTGTGTTGTGTGAGCTGACAGGCTACCTGCACCCTGTACCTTGTCTCGATACCTTTTGAGCTTTCCTCTTCCTTAGCTGTCTCTGATCAGACCTCCTAAATCTTCACTCCCACTTTCCTACTAATTTAAGACTGTTATAGTCATGAGTGTCCACTAAAGTCCTCAGCTGGTGATCTTACCAACTGCCCAACCCAAAACAATAGGCAAGCTCAACCTTCAGCTAATCCAGGCCCAGTGGAGAAAGGGCACTTCCAGCAGGGAAATGAAGTTCTGCAGAGTCGGTCAGGCAGTGGGGATGATGGTGTTTGTTTACTGACCCACGATTTATGGCATGGCATTGGCATTGCATAAGTCAAGAGGTAAAATTCCTCAAAGGAGAAGAACAATCCATCATATCAAATGGAAAATCAGACAGTAAGAAATTGTAAGAATTGTGGTTAGCCAGGGTATGGAGGAAACCAAGGGAGAGGAGAGTGGTCTCAACTCTCACCATCTGAACACTTAAGATCAGAATGTTCAAGTCGACAGCCTTGGAAGTCATTACCTAAAACTGATTCACCTTTTCCTCCCTCAGGCAGATGACGAGAGGAATTACCACATCTTTTACCAGCTCTGTGCTGCTTCCAGCCTTCCAGAATTTAAAGAGCTTGCACTAAGTAAGTCAACAGGTACATGCAGTGCTATGCAAGTAGCACAGCTAGACCTTCTACTCTGCGTTCTTCATCTGGTTATTGTCTCAGCTCTGTCTCTAATGTAGTCCTGTCCCTTAATCCCCTCTGAACCTCACTGCCCAGTTAGTAAAAGGGGTTAATTATATCCAGACTACCTGAAAGGGAATGAGCCGGGGGCGGGGGGTTATATAGCATGAAAGATTGTGTGTGTTACTACTTTAAAAGATATGTTTCTGGAGCAAGGGAGATGGTTTAGTCATTAAAGTGTCTGCTGTGCAAGCATGAAGACCTGAGTTTGGGTCCTCAGAACCCATGTAAATGCTGTGTGAATCCATGTCTATAACCCCAGTGCTGAAAGAGAGGCAAAAGAAGCAGATCTTTGGCTATCATTGGTCAGCCAGTCTGCCTAGGCAGAATAGATGAGATCCAGGTTTGGTGAAAGACCCTGTCTCAAAAATATAAGTTGGAGAAGCAATCAAGGACAGCACCTCTTGTCGACCTCTGGCCTTCATGCATGCCCACTCGCATACCCACATGAACATGTACATACACCACACACAAAGAAAGAAAAATAATGTGCTCTGCTTTCTGCATCATGAGACACAAGTCCCTTCCAGAAGATCTACAGATTTAGGTGCCACTCATCACTTCGTCATGGCCAACTTGTGCTAAGTCATATTTTAGAGTCGAAACAGAAAGGATGCAAATAGAGATGGCCACAGTGGGGAAGACTACAGTACGCACGAGTGGTACATAAGTCACCACAGAGGATGTCATAACACAGGCGAGTAAGATTCAGCATTTGTCAGGTGGTGGAGCCCTTCTGAACAGACATAGAAGCTTCTAGCCTGTCCATGCTGGAGCACTAGAAGAAAGTAGAACAGTCAAAAGTGCCTCACCACCACAGCCAATGCAATGACTCACCTGCTGTCCCTGTCAGATGAATGACCCCATCCTTTATTCCCCTAATGAATGCAGTAGCAAGTCTCCCTTGTTTTGAGGCAGTTGACATGGAGCCATAGTGGTGGGAGGCTTTAATTCTTGGTTCTGTTCCACATAGCATCTCTCCTTGAGCTGGAGCCTCTGTCCCCTCATCTGTCTGGGCCTGCATCATGGAGCACTGATGGATTCTTGGTTCTGAGTACTCAGATCCTCAGTGTGATGAGGGCCAGTCTGGATTTGAACAGCATCCTATCTTTGATCTATTGTCTATACAGATACATGTGGGGCACATTTGGGGCACATACAGGGAGATGACTATCAGATGATATGAAGATCTAGGTGACTAGGCAGAGGTTAGTTGGTCTTTTTATCTCCAAGAGAAATAGACCACTGAGGCTATGTCCCCAAATCCTAAGGATCCAGCATCAGACCCCGCTGGGTCTCCCTATAGCTAAAGTCCATCAAGTGGCCCCAGTATCAGTTTGCCCTGTGCTCTGCTTCTTTCCTTAGGAGTTTCTACAGTGTTTTCTCTGTGCTGTGCAATCTAACTTTTGTTCATCCATTTCTGACACTTAATGCAGGCCATAGTGATACAGCACTGAACAACACAGCTGCAGGTTCTGCCATTGTTTAGCTTGCCAGTTATGGAAGTGGTGAGAACTGTGCTGCAGCAAGCACAGCTCAAGCCAGAAGTCTCCCCTGTGGAAGTCCTATTTCACTTGGGACCCAGAAAGGACACACTGGATGGCACCCACTGCTGACTTGCCCTGTTCTGAAGTTACTTGTACCTCTGACCCACCCAGGGTCAAGGAGTGTATGCTACAAGGTAATAGGAGCAGGAGCAGGTTCTGAGTGGCCCTTGTTTGAACACTAATCTGACCTGGTAGCTTTTGGGTCTGATGCCACCTGTCAGCCACAAGTAGCCAGATGGGCAGCCATCATATGGGTGACTGACATCCCCTCTTTTCCTTCCCAGAGTGGAGCCTGGGCCCATCTGGGATTTTCAGGGCCAAACTGTGGAAGTTTTTTATCTCCTAAGGTTAATTTTATGGAGACTCAAATATTGACAAGATCCACCTGGCTGACCACTTTGTCCTGACTGTAACATTAATAGGGAATTAGTCCTCTAACTTTTCCATTTACATGAGTTGTATTGAGCTTTAAAGTGGGTTTTCTTTTCTGTGTCTATGCAAGGTGCAGACTCCCTGGGCTTCTGCCAGAACCCTTGAAAATTACCCAATTCAATCAGTTTCTTGCATCTTGGAGAGTATCTTGGAGTGAAATGAAGAGCTTTTGATAAGCTCTTGTGAGGCTCCCTGTGGCCTTGTGGGTGGATTGGCTGTGAGCCCTGATACTAGGCATTCGGTTCCACTGATAATCCTAATAAGTAGCTGGGAAAGTCAAATAAAAGAAGGACTAGCCAGAGTCTCCAAGCAATTTTATAGACTGCCTCATATCCTATTCCATTTCTTAACCCAAAGCGTGTCAAACAGAAGTCTCTATAACAGCTGGTGCTGTGGCACAAACATGTGTATTTGTCTGAAAATGGAAGTATAGACTGAGTCTTGTCAACCATGTTTTTCCTCTACTCCATTGTTCCGTTGTGCTTAAAATGATTTTAAGGAGAGATTTTAAAAAAAAGTCCTGTGGATAATTCGTTAGGGAATAAATGATGGTAAAGTTCCCATCTTCCCTTAAATACATTTCTCAAATGATTAATGATTAAGTTCCTTTTCTTTGTTACTTTTATGGATGTATTGATGCAGTTATATAAACAGTCTTGACCTGTGCAGCCTCCCAGGTGAAGTCCAAGCTCTGTAACCTTCATCTTAATTGTTGGTATTCCAGTCATTGACTCATGGCTCCTTTGTGGTCTGTCCTGTTCTGCAGTTGCTTGCAAGTCTGATCCTCCTAGGAATATAACTTTCCAAGGACAAGGAGTACATGCTATCAGCTAGCCAGAGCAGATTCTGAGTGACCCTGGGCCAGTGTATGGTGAGCCAACTGATAGGCATTGTAGTATATCTTTCTTGGCAATTCTTAGTCAAGTGCAAGAGAGAAAGTGATCCCAGCTGGAAGATTAGGAAGGGCAGTGCTGGTTTCGTGGACCCGAAAGGAGGACTGAGTTGCAGGCAGCCAGGTGGGTGTGGAAGGGTTGATTGCATGCTGCTTGCATGTCTCTTACTAAGGGGGTCTGGTGTATGATGATAACCAGTGATTGCAGGTAGATGAGACGAGAAGGGAAGGAGACGACAGTGTTGATAGGATTCAGATTCTTTGGCAGGTGGCCTATGCAGTGCTGAGCCTCAGCCTAAGAAGTAGCTCAGCTGTGTCTGAGTTTGGAAACTAGGAGCAGGAAAGGTGGGGAGTAGTCTGATTCAGAGCATCAGGCAGTAGGGCCCGATCTGGTGACAGTGAAGGATGCTAAAAATGCCTTTCCTTCAATATAGAAGCCAGATGTCCTCCTGTGGAGCCCCTAGTGACTCTGATAAGCTTGGCAGTCATTCAGTAGTGAGTTAGATTGTTCTCGTGGCAAAGTCATGGGATGCTGAAGATAAATCATCTCTTCAATGGGGTAATCAAGTAGTAGACTCCCAGTCCCAGCCAGCCCCTGGTAAGCCTGTGCAACCCCTTAAAGTGCTTTACTTCTCGGTTTGCATGTCTGAAAATGGGAACAAATAAAAGTCTTCACTGTAAAAATCATCAGGTGAGATGTTTTTTAAAGTGAGTGTAAGGGAAGGAATTGCTTTTATTAATCCTTTGCAGCTCTTATATTGCCCAGAGCTTGTAAGTAGCTATGAAAGTGCTAAATATGTTTTTGAGCAAGATCTGATTTTTTTTTTTTTTTTTGCTCCTGTTGAAGCTCTGAGTGGGCAAAGGGCCAAAGTCCTCCTCTTTCTTGCTCAAATGTCTTGACCTCCATTCAATATGTTGTTAATCCTTCAGGAATTTTCTTCCTTAGCATGCAGTTGTGTTCCATTTATTCCTATTCAAACATCTGTGTAGCCTATTAGTGTTCCATTCATATGTTCAACCTGGAGTCAGGGCTGAATTGTGACACTTTCTAGCTGGATATGGCAGTGTTTGCTTAGTTTTTCAGAAATGTCAACAGCGACCTCTGAGGTGACACCGACCTCTTATTGTGGTCTGGAACATAGGCTGTTCCACAGGAGCCCAAGGAAGTAGGTAGAGATGCAAAAGACGACGACCTCTTGACAGCATAGACAGGGCTCTGTAGCTCTGTAGCTGATGAGCAACCATGAGGAAACTAGCATATGTTGAACACAAAGATGGGAAAGAAAGGAACAGCTGTGAATCTGGAGGAGTAGGAGGTAGCTGTGTCACAAAAGGTCCAGGACACTGTTCCAAAGCATTGATCTTTGCCTTGAGGGCAGCGAGACTGCTGAAGGGCAGGAGAGTGGTCTGACTGGAGTTACCAGCACTGTAGGGGTGGCTATAAGCAGAAACAAGATGGGTTAGAATCTCTTGTTGCAGTCCCCAGACAACAGATGCTGAAGGTTGGACCAGGACAATGACAGTCAGCAGGGAGAGAGGAAAGAGACTGCAGAGGTTCTTGGGAGATATATTGAAGGACAGGGTGTTGAAGGAGGCCTGAGAGTTGCTGTGCTACTACATCTAAGCGTGTTTAGCTGACGTGGATTCAATGTGCATGCCCAGGTCTAGGGAAAAGAGTTAAATGGGGGTTTTCGGGAAAGGAGGAAAACCAGTCCATATATACTTTTGGTTGAACCAAACAGTGAATACTCAGGACTTGAAATACCACGTAAGGTTTTACCCCACAAGGTAGTAGATTTGCCAAACACTTGAATACTTTCCAAGGATAACTTTGCATGTCGTTCTTGTCTTAAGTCTGACTCTGGAGCCATTCCTCTCATAGAAGCCAACATTACCATCCTCTGAGTAGTGCTATTTCAAGTTGGGCTTTTGCCCTCGGCTAAGCTGTTCTCTGATGTGACACTGACCTCTCTTTCCTTACTCGCTGTCAAGGCTGTCAGAGGTCTGGCTGAGGAAGAGGGAAGTGGAGATGTGAGGGAGCACATGAGAATATCAGCTTGCGCTTGTTCTTACATCTGAATAGCTCCAGGGATCTCTGACTTTGTAAAACAGACAAAACCAAGTCACTTGAGGCTCATCACTGCCCCTCATTTGTCAGACTAAATTGATAGATGAAGATTTCCTAAGATCAGAAGTGTGCAATTCTGAGTTGTGATTCTAAATACATATTTCACTTGTATGTTACATTCTTTAAAAAATCAAATGTGAAATGAATCCTATTGAAATGAACTTTCAGTGACCTATTTATATAAATATTTTTACCATACCAGTTTTACATAAATAGAGCAGCATGTTTTCGTTGGTGTAATTTTTTTTATTAATCAATTTTCTCTTCCCCCTTGCTAATGTGGACAAAGAATATTTTGAAGAGTGATGTACCCAGCTGGGACCAAAATTTGATGTGGGCTAGAAGACTCAAGGTAGTCATCCTAATAGGTCATGAAGTTCTCTCCAGTGTCTCACTCTTCACTTCCTTGCCTTCCACAGCGTGTGCAGAGGACTTTTTCTATGCATCACAGGGAGGAGACACATCCATTGAGGGTGTCGATGATGCAGAGGACTTTGAGAAGACTCGACAAGCCCTCACACTCCTTGGTAAGGACCTTCTGGATGGGAGAAGCAGACCCATGGGTTTGATCCTATGGAGGGGAGGAAGTGAGGGGAGGTCTCACTTGGCTTACCTGCCTTTGTGAGTTAATGAGGAAGTCCTGTGACCCTTGGTAAGGTAAGACCCTTGTCCTCTTACCCTCTTACCCATCTCAGTCCACAGGCTCCAAACTCTATAATTTGGAGCTTTCTTAAAAATAAACTTTTGAGGGACTGGAGAGATGGCTCAGTGGTTAAGAACACTGATTACTCTTACAGAAGACATGGGTTCGATTCCCAGCACCCACATGGTGGCTAACAAAGATCCACCTCCAGGGGATTTGACACCCTCTTCTGATTCCAGTTCCAGGGGATCTGATACCCTCTTCTGACTTCCACAGGCATTGCACATAACAGATGCACTTACACACATGCAAGCAATGCACTCATACACATAAAATGAAAATAATAAATAATAAACTTTTGAGTTAATCATCATCTACCACATAAGGAAACTTCTCTAATGAGAGATGAGAGATGCATTCATCCTATGTGTAGAGGTTGCATTGAAGATATGTCACTTAGGGTTAAGCATCTCAGAGACACCTACTCTCTGTTTGATTTGTTCTTTAACTCTGTAATAGTCTCCATCTGCTGCAAAAAGGAGCTTCTTTGGTGAGAGATGAAAGGTACATGTGTCTGTAAATATGAAGATGCATATTTAGAAGAAAGTAAATAAGTGGTCTAGGGATGTGGCAAAAGTAGGTTTTTCACTAGTTTTAGCTTGCATAGAACTTTTGCATGCTGACACCACTGCTCAGAGTTCATATGAGCAACTGACCAGCTGCCTGGAAGACTGTTGTTTCCTTGTGGTCATCTACCCCCTCTGGCTCTTAAAATCTTCTCATCTCTTCTGAAATGATCCTGAGCCTTGGGAGGTGGAGGTTTGAAACAGGTGTCCTATTCGGGGATAATAAGCACTCTTCAGCTTCTATGCACACTGGCCAGTTGTGGGTTTCTGTGTTAATCATCATCTTTTGCCTAGACATGGAGAAGTGGGTAAGAAATCCCAACCCAACTTAAGGAACTTTTGGTTATTGGTGGCTGCAGAGAGGAGAAAAGGCAGTGTCTTATAGAGATTAGGCTCTTGGTGGGCCCAGTGAATAGACCACACTGAAGGACATTTGGGGACACAAATCAGACTATAGGCATGTGTGTGTATGTGTGTGTGTACATTAAATTGGACAGAAGCATAGTGGGGGGTGCAGATAGGGGAGGGCATCTAAACCCTCCCCTGGCTTTTGAGTCAGGTACTGCAAAGTAGTCATTGTCACTCACTCGGATATTGAAACCCATGGAGGAAAGCCCAGTATAGTAATGTCTTTGTGTGCTATGGTCTGGGTTCAGAGGCAATGTACTCTCCCAGGATGGCACTCTACTGGAGCCAGACCATCTGTGTATCAGCCAGGGAAACAAAGTGGAAGCAGACATCAGTGTCTAGGAGCTCTGCCAGACATGCCGAACTCATGTGTTAGCCATTGGTGTTGGAATCCTCAAAGCAGGAAGTTCTCTGGAACCTTCAGTGGCAGCTGAGGTTGGTAGGGCTGGAGGGAATTGCCCCTCTTTCTAGCCTGTTTTAGAGAAGAATAGGCCTCAGGTAGTGAGGTAAAAGGTAATCCTTTCTTCATGTGGAAATTGAAATATTCAGTCCTGGGGCTTGTAACCAGGAAAGGGAAAGCTTGAGAAGGTATCCTGAAACTAGCAAGTGCCTTAGATAACCTCTGTCTTTCCTACCCCTTTCCTGACAGAGATGGAGCTTTTGGCTTCTCAGGTTATTCAGAGAAAACCTCTGTTTTTGTCAGAGTCCAAATTAAATGTGATCAAATTGGACACACCCTGCTCACGGTGGGACAGAAATGAAGTGCTCATGTGCTACAGTCCCAAGGTGATCACTTCTCTGGGTAGATAAGACATGGGAAAATTAGAGTTGTACCTTTGAATTATTAAGACACAAAAACTACACTGGTTATTCCAGCATAAAAACATAGTATAAGCATCATTAACTGAAACAGCAGTAAACGATTTGCTAGGAAAAGGGCCAAAGTAGACTTTCAGGACCAGAAGTCATAGAGGCAAGGGAACCACTCCTATGGTCAGTGTAAGGGCCAAACCAGTGCAGGAACTGTTAAATAGCGAATCTGGAGCCATGGCTGAGCTTTAGACCCCATCTAGGAGGAAGGAGATGTGTGCCCAAAGGTGAAGACCAATCGAAGTGTAAACATGCATGCTGTACTTTCCCCGAGTATGACTGAGCCTTAGCTCCAACTGAAGCTCAGCAGGGAGGTTGTATCTAGAGAGGGCCAGAACCAGGAAGGGGACCACCTTTCTACTGCTGTTGCCTTTGTATCACTACAGTGCCCTCTATTGAGCAAACCTGATGCTTTGCCAGTCAGCACACAGTTTTTCACTGGACCAGTCCTAGAATCCCACAGCAGGAGAAGGGGAGGGGAAGACGTGAAGGGAGAAGATAGCATCTCTGGCTTCCCCAGCATCACACACCTTGTTTTTCTCCACAGTTGAAGGGTTTGGAGGATACCTGATGGTAAACAGGATGTGTTCTGCCCAGCCTGCCAGACAGGAGACCCCCACCATACATATACAACACACAACCCATAGGGCTGCTGTGAGCAGTGGGCAGGAGCTGGTATGAGAAGCAGCTCCCTTTCAGGCTCTGAGATGAATGTTTTAGTTCCCAAAGCAGATCACATCTATAACATCATTTTAATAAGACTCTCTACTAATCCTCTTTCTGTAATTTTGGAGGTTGATAAAACATCTTAAAGTACAAGAGAGTAAAGAGTTTAGGCTTTATGGGCCATGTAATTTCTATTGCCCCATCTTATCTCTGTTGCATTAGCCTGGAAATAGCTACAGATGAAGCATGATGAGGGCATGACTGCTCTGCTACATACAGCTTTACAGAAACAGCCTGTGGGCTATGCCTGTGGGCTGCCTTTGGGCTATGGGTTATAGATTGCTGACCCCCGTTTGACTACTTAGGTATTATGGTTTGATTTTTGGTTTTTACTTCCCATAATGAGGTGCTGTTTACTTAGAGGACCCCCTTGCTTTGTCAGTCCTTGTTTAATCCATGCTTGGATTGTCTACTTGGATTATCTGGAGATTTTTTTTAAATATTTTATTTTATGTATATGAGTGTTTTGCCTGTATGTATGTAAGTGCATTCATGTCAGGCAATGCCTGTGGAGGTCAGAAGGGGGCATCAGATCCCCTGAAACTGGAATTATGGACTGTTGTTAGCTGCCATGTGGGTGGTGGGAACTGAACCCAGGTCCTCTGCAAGAGTAGCCAGTCTCTCCAGCCTCAATCTGGAGAAAATTTTAATCCTATCAGTACATGTCTGTGCCTTCCACTGGTGCTGTACTGGTTTTTTGTAGCTGGAGTAAAATACTACCTGAAAGATAGCTGCAGCTGGGGAAGAATATGGGAACAACTGTTATTTCTTGAATGGAATGATAGCTGTACTAACATTCATCATGTCATTCTGTTGGCTTTTTTAAAAAAATGGGCTTGAAATATTTTGTAATTTAAAAAGAAATGATAATGCCTTCAAGCTAAATCTAAATTTTAAGAGATTATGCCTTTGGTAATTCACACGGGGAAATAAGAAATTTGACCATCATGTTTGCTGCCGCAGGGGTTCTGAGCTATGTGTATCTGTCACTGCAAGGGCATACATAGCAGGAGGAACAGCCACCCCCAGCTGGGACTGGCCATGAACCAGCTGGCTGGCCAGCCCCTAGAATAGTAATCTCAGGGGGAGGGAGCATCCTCTTCTTCCCCCGTTGGCACTGCAATGTGTCACAGATGTTTGCAGGATATTAAGTTGGGAGAAAAAAATGACTACAGATAAATGACCATTCTTATTAAATTCATAAAAGCATCCATAAAGTGTTTGGTTGAAATGAAGTCCAAAATGACTCAGCCCTACTGCTGCCTCTCTGTGCTCTTGGAGAAGTTAAAATGCTGGTGTGCTCCATCTGGTGTGATGTGGACAGTCAGAGTGAAGCGATTTCCCTTGCAGTGCAGGAGCCCCTTTGCCCTCTGAGGTGCTATTGTGAGTGGTAATTACTTGCCATGGCTCGTTTTAGGAGGCATTGGCCAGGAAGGAAAAAAATCAAACAATCTTTTAAGTCCTTAAAAGGGGTGAAAAATCCTTTCTATCATAGCACAGATATTGAATGTCATTCATTCATTTGTTTCCCCCTTCAGGAGTGCGAGAGTCCCATCAGATAAGCATCTTTAAGATAATTGCTTCCATCTTGCACCTTGGAAGTGTGGAGATTCAGGCCGAGCGTGATGGGGAGTCCTGCAGCATATCAGTAAGTTGCACCAGTGCCAGAGATAAAATGTGCAGTCAACTCAGCTCCTCCAGCCTGATACTATGAACATATGCCTCTTCACTTAGAGAGCGCCCCTTGGTTATTCTGAGCAGTAATGATTTCAGTTTTCTCCCTGATAATTTTTAAAAGAACCAATCCATTCCAAATCAGCTGTCATCAAGTCTCTATCACTGAGGCCAGGGTTTTAGTGGCTATTCAATAAAATTTTTTGATGGGTTTATTTTCCAAGTACTCTGAGGTCTGTGGAATTCTGCAACCTGCCATCAATCTATTGAGTGCTTTGTGGGATCCAGACTGAGGTCCTTGTAGCAAGGAGACAGTTTTAGAAATCATATTTGGTGTCTGCCTCATGAGAACTCACAGTCTAACTGGGAAACAGTGGTGAGATAACACTTGCTGAGCTTTTCCCAGTTCAAGACAGAATATTAAGTGAGACATCTCAAAGTCCTGCCAGCTATGAGGACTCCTTAAATTCTTATGATAAAGGTTATTTTCCCTTGAGCCTAGTGTCAGCAGTTGATATGTGCAAGTGTCTACATGGATAGGTGCATCCTGGATGGAGTTCATGTGGTGGTACAGGCAGCAGTTTCTGTGTTCTCTCTAGAATTTAATATTTAATATGAAAACTGGCACTCTGACCTTTAATAGGCATACCTGTCATGTTTTTGCCTCTTCTGTTCAGCTTGTGACTAGGTCTGGAGGGAGTATAGAGTGTGATTCTTATTTCTCAGGAGCATGGATGTTAAATAACCAAATGCTAGAAAAAGTCTAAAGATGAAGCTACAGAGTTCAGATGTGGGCATGTGCCCAAGTCATCTGCAAGCTGAAACCCTTCCCACGTCCTTCATTCCTGCTATTTGTATAGGATTAGGAGTTAGCAGAAGTTCAACCTGCCTTGCCTTTAGGAAGCAGACCTGAATTCCATCTAGGTTCAGTAGAGCTCTTCTGTGGTCTCTCCTCCATTCCCACATATTTTCCTTAAGTAAGGAATTATCTTGGGGTTCAAGTGGATGCCTGGGCCTGCTTCCATCTTCAATATGGACTCTATAGCCTCTTGAGAGCTTTAAGACTCCTACCCGTGCCTGTGGGAAAGGAGGGGATGTCAGAGCTTACAGCGACTTGGAACAGTTTCTGACATCTGAAGTTCATATCCCACTGTGCATGCGTGCACTGTGGAGTAGGTGGGGCCTACAGTGTAATGAAGATAGTGGTGATGGTGCTTTGATAGCACATGGGGAGTTCTAAAGACCTGTGGCCTGACTAGTGATGAATGAGCCTCCAATGCAGGCCAAACCCTTTCCTAGTCTGAGTCTTTGGCTCTGGTACAGTCTTTCCCCTTGTGAAAAAAAAGTATATAGGATTTATAATTCCCTTATTCATATCCCTCCCCAGCAAATGTCCATATTTATTCTTAGAGCAGCTGTATTCTGCTGTGTCGGGGACAAAGGACATGGGAACACATGCCTTGACAAATGTCTGATTTAGGCTGGTAATGTACAAGAAAGTTGACAAATATTTCCTTAACTTCCAGCCATTCAATAACTCTCTCTTCTCCAGTGGTCTCAGAGTCACACCCCTAGTCACAGAGTTTCTTTTTGTTGTTGTTGTGTGGGTTGCTAGGAATCAAACTCTTTAACATGAGCTCTCCATCAGTTCACACACTCAGCCTTCTTGCCTGGGATTCTTACAACACCCTATACTTTTCATCTCTTCCCCTTAGCACAGTGATTTTATATCATTGTGGGATTTTTCACTTTACTTCGCTCCCTCCTCCTCCTCATCTTTGTCCTCATCTTCCTCCTCTTTCTCTTCCTCCTCCTCTTTTCCGTCTTCTAAGTTGGTGAGGTCAGCAACTACTTGTTTGTTGTCACCGCTGCAGCATCGAGGGCTCAGTAGGAACTCCAGAATGGACACCTGGGTGATTGGTTGAGGCTCTCTGGGCCTAGTGGTGATAGAAATGAGAGTTGGTATGGATAAGACAGAACTCATTGGGTGCTGGTGAGGAAGAGAGGCCCTGAGTGACTGCAGGAGGATGTAGACCAGGGTTGGTGCCTCTTTGGAAAGCCCAGCCTTGGAGTGGTAAGTGTAGTATCTCTGATCCTATAGCTAGTCCTCCACTCCTGACCTCCAAGGACATTCATGTGAGGGGAAGGTATTTGATCAGTGCTTGTTTCCACCCCAATAAACAGTATTGGACCATGTTTGTTGTGGTCACTATTCTTCCTGATACACAATGGCATCATGGAGTGTTTGTGGGATTTGTTCAAATGTAGGACCATCAGGACACACTTGAAATGGACAGGAGGGATGACCTGAGATAGGGAGGTTTTGAGCCCACGTGGTACAACAGCACTTTCTCACTCAGGCAGAAGTTGAGGGAGCACAGGCTAAAGGTCTAGGCTGTTCACAGAACTGTGAATGATGACTGAGCAGAGTTGCCAGGGTTCAAATCCTGCTCTTACCATTTCCCAGATGTGCGACTCAAGCAAGCTCCTCCTTTACCTCCTCCCTGCACAGTGGAGGTGAGAAGAAAAATGCAGGCCCATGTGGAGGCTTTTACTCAGAGCCCATGGTGATTCTAGTAAGTTCTAGACTAATACCATTAGTGATTCTAGTAAGGTGATTCTAGTAAGTTCTAGACTAATACCATTCTGGTTGTTTGGGCCAGATATTAAGTGCACACCTTTCCCTATACAGGGGAAGAAAATCTGAATAGAGCCCGGAGAGAGGACTCTCTTTCTCAAAGGTCACGATGACTGATAGACCTGCCAGGACAGTGCCTGGTTAGGGTTCTTTCCCCTGCACCACTCCCTCTCACTTACTCAGCTCACTTTCAACCCTTTGAACTGGGCCATTGCCCACTTGCCAGCAGCCCATTGGTGCTGAACATGATGGTGAGCTCGAGAAAAGTTCCTGCTGAGAGCCACTCTCATGGATCTTGCTGTATTCCTCAGGTCCATCAGGTGGGCCTGCTGTCTACCTGTAAGCAGTGTGCCTTCTGCTCTGTGGCCTTTGTTTTTAATTAAGGCATGAGAATATGTTCCAGGATTGCCAGAGTTACCTTGGAGATGCAATACCATCCAATTACTTGGACACCAGAGGCAATTTTTTTCCTTGAATTTGGCAATGTAGGCTCATAAAACTAATCTGCTGCCTATAATGCTATTTTAATGGATTTAGTATCATTTAATTATGCTTAATTGTAATTGCATGATGTTAATCAGTTTCTGTTAGCACCTTTAATCAACAGTCAGAAACCAGTGGGACCAGACCAGTCCCCACTGTAGTGGCTAGAAACCTGTCCCCTGTGGCTATCAAAGAGTTAGCTCCATAACTGTGGGCCCATCTCCATCACACTCTAGTGTAAGGCATCAGGGAGGAAAGGAGAGAGGAAGAAAGAGGAGAGCACAGAAGATGGGGGAAAGGAGAGAAGGGTGCCTGGGAGCAAGCCTGTGTTGTTTACTGCTGGCAAACCACTCAAACATCAGGGAAGCCGTCTGCAATGTGTGCCTAGCAATTAAGAATTTCTTGGAAATAGGTCAGATGAACAAATTGGACACTTGCCACCTGTAACTTGTTGCCTGCCAAGCAGGCTCTAAATTTTACCCTGAAGAGCAACATTATGTTGGAGCAGGGAGAAGTCGGGAGGCTGTAGGGTAAAAGCTGTGGCCAGAAGTGGCTGTGACATTCTTCACTGCTGAGTGAGTGTGACACACAGGTCTCTGCATACCAAGCCAGCCCACATCAAGCTGGCTGTCTATCTGGGTGGTCAGGGGGGTTTACTCAGCTTCATTTTCTTCATCCGAATAATATGGGCTGGGCCAGAATGGCAGCTCCTAAAGGGTCTTCCTTGGAGCTGAACCCCAGAAAGAAGTAGAAGTCTTTGTTCAAATAAGTCTGTGAATGTTCTTTAACATAGAGAACTTTGGGTGCTTCTAAGTACTGTGTTTAACCTGGTGTGAGTAATGCTGTTTAGTGATCTCTGCAGGCAGTGTTCCTACCCATCCCCGGGAAACATACTGGCCTTTGTGGTTTGGGGAGAGTCTTTCTTTTCTAACAGTCTGTTTTATATTTGTGTTTGCATTGGCTAGATAGGTTTTAGAGATTAGTAGGAAAAAATGGCCTAAGGATATGGTGTTAAGGGGAAAGTAATATAGCTATCTGTGTTAATCTTTACTGAAAAGGTCTCATTTAAATCCTACAGGTGGCCTCATCAGAAACTGAGACCCACAAGCAATTTAAAGCCTTTAGTAGGTAGAACATCATGTTCTAAATCTAAAGGAGTCTCTTTTAGCCTTAGATTTAATAAGCTTTCCTAGAGGCCCAAAGCTGGCTTAGCTATTTTCCCAAGTACAATGAGATGAGGGTGTGAATAACCACCAAGGATGACAGGTTTTCTGTGCAAATCCCAGAATGGGTAGCAGAGATCTTCCAAGAAACTCTCATGGTCTTATAAAGGAAGATAAGATCCTGTAGGAACTTTGGTTTTTTACTGGCTTGAATCAAGGTGATTTGATGGGTAAACACAGGTCAGGACTCAGTTGTAGCTCTCTGGGGCAGCTGGGAAGCTAGTAGGTGCTTTCATAAATGGAGCTCTGGACCATTGTACCCTCCTTGGGCTCAGGTTCTTATCTATATGAAAAATAATTAAATTGGAGAACATGGCAGTTTTTTTTCAGCACCAAATCTGTAGTGTTATCAATAGAAATGTTTTGTGTGGCCTCAGGTCACAATTGGGTCCCTATTTTTGCTATGTGTCCAGTTTTCCACATTGTTTAACTTTTCCCCAACAATAGGTACTCATAAACAGAGCTCAGTTATGACTTAGCATCACTGACACTGAGGTGGAGGAGCTTCTTTCCAAGTGTAGGACAGCCTGAAAACACTGCTGGGAGGGATATTGTCCACTGGGTTTTGGCTTGTTTCTTTTCTTTAATATTTTATTGAATTTTTGATAATTTCATATGATTGCATTTTGCTCATCATATTCAGACTCCTTCCCTTATCTGCAACCCCTTAGTACCCCTCACCCAATTTCATGTCCTCTGTTATTATTTAAGACCTATCAAGTCTAATTTGTACCCCCAAATGCCCTTTGGTGTGGGTGCATCCTCTGTAGTGTGATCAACCTACCCAGTGTCAACACCCTTAAGAAAACTGACTCTCTTTCTCCCAGAAGCTATCAGTTGTCAATACTTCTTCAGGTAGGGGCTTCTTACCTACTTCCTCCTCTTTATGCCTGGAATTTTTCTGACTTGAGCTTACATAAGTCTTGTGAATGCTGACACAGTTGTTATGAATGCATATGAGTAATTGCTCTGCTGTCTGGAAAACATTGTTTCCTTGTATCCATCCACCACCTCTGGCTCTTAAAATCTTTCTGCCCCCTCTTCTGAAATGACTCTGAGTCTTCGGAGGTGAGTGTTTGATACAGCTGTCCAATTCAGGGCCAAGCACTCTACAGTCTCTTATTCTCTGCACATTGACCAGTTGTGGGTTTCCATGTTAATCACCTTCTGCTGTAAAAAGCGGCTTCTCTGTTGAGAGTTGGAGACACATTAAGCTATGAGTATTAACAATAAATAATTGGGAGTCAGTTTAATACTATTTCTGCTTAGTAGAATGATAGTAGTGGGTTCTCCCTTATGGCCTGTGACCTGTCTAAGCCTGATATCTGGGCCAGGTATAGGCTCCATCTTGTGACATGGTCCTTACGTCCAATCAGAAAATGTTTAGTTACCCACAGAATATTCATGCTACTATTATACCAGTGGGCATATCTTGCCAGGTCAGTTGTGATTCTAGCTTGTAGGGTTCACAGTTTGGGAATATTGATAATTTCTTTTCTGATTGTGTGCATAGCACCTTCCAGCACTATGGAAGCTAGCCAGTAGGGATGAAGCTTTAAGTTCAGTACCAGCTTGATTTTTCCTTGTTTGTTCTATGACTCACATATGTAGTGTCTTCAGCAATAGGGTCTCACGATCAAGTTCTAGTTGATAACCAAAAGAAAGGAAGGGCAGTAGCCAGTATTGTTTGAAGGTCTATAGGATGCCTGGTCAACAGCTTCAACAGTTCCTTGCACTGGGCTTTTTATTTCCTAGACTATGGTGTCTGCTAGGGACATTGTCCCCCTGTTACAGAGTGACTCTGTTTAAACTCTTTTTATATTATATGTGTAGATACTTTAAGAAGTTTCTGTTGGGGGCTGGAGAGATGGCTCAGTGATTAAGAACACTGGTTGTTCTTGCAGAAGACCCAGGTTCGAATCCCAGGACCCACATGGCAGCTAACAACTGTCCATACCTCCAGTTCCAGGGGATCCGACAGCCTCTTCTATCCTCTGCGGGCGTTGCACGACACAGGTGCACTTACCTACATGCAGGCAATATGCTGGTACACATAAAAAAAAAAAAGAAGTTTCTGTAGTGATGTTTCCATATGACTGTTTCTAAATGCCTTTAGTGTTACTTATCCCTCCCTATACTCCTTCTGCTCTGCCCTCCCAGTCCCCATCTCATTAAACTCTTACTACTCTATTACTGCCTTTTCCCCCTTTATATTACTGCATTCTATCTCCCCTCCTATGAAGCCCCATACCCATGGCCATTTACTAGTTTCCTGACCTCTAAGGATTTTCCAATTGAAACGTACATATCCAGACTGAAGAGATGGCTCAGTAGTTAAGAGCACTGACTACTCTTGCAGAGGACCCGGGTTCAATTCCCAGCACCCACATGGCAGCTAACACCGGTCTGAAACTCCAGCTCCAGGGGATCCAGTACCCTCTTCTGTCCTTTGTATGCATTGCACAACATGGGTACACTTTCATACATGCAGGTAAAATACTCATAAACATGAAAAATAAATAAGTAAATAGAAATATATTTATCTAAAGATTCAAAGCCAACATCCATTTATGTGAGGGAACATACAATGTTTGTCTTTCTGGGTCCAGATTACCTCACTCAGAGTGATTATTTCCAGTTCTATCCACTTACCTGTGAATTTCATAATTTCATCTTTCTTAAATGAATAATATATTGCATTGTGTAAATGTACCATACTTTAATTATCCATTCATTAGTGATGGACATCTAGGTTGTTTCCATTTCCTGACTGTTGTGAATAGGGTAGCACTGAACATGGATAAACAAGTATCTCTTTAGTAGGATATAGTATTCTTCGGGTATGTGCCCAAGAGTGGTATGGTCATGTGGCAGGTCTATTTCTATCTTTTTGAGAAATCTCCACACTGTTTTCTACAGTGGCTGCATCAGTTTGCACTCCCTCCAACAGTGAAGAAGTGTTGCCTTTTCCCCACATCCTTGCCAGTATTTGTGGTTTATTTTTTGGATCTTAGTCATTCTAACTGGGGTAAGAAGAAATCTCAAAGTAGTTTTAATTTACATTTCCCTGATGGCTTAGGATGTTGACCATTTTAAAAAAATATTTCTTATCTGTTGACATCATGTATGATTTGGAAGACACTGTTGTAAAACACCAGCATGCTTCCCGTATCCCGCTCACCCAGAAGATAGTCCCCACATTGATCCATATTATAGAAGGGGACTTGAAGCCTGGGAGTGGGTGGTGGCTGAATGCTAGGCAAACCTGGAGCTTGTATGTGAAGGGTTTTGAGTAGGCGGTCGAGAACTGCTTTCTGGACCATTATGAGCATTGTGTGTGGTGCTTCACAGATGCATCCTCTCTGCCCAGTATGTGTCTGCTACCTGCTGTGTCGGCTCCTGACTCTGAGATGCTTCACCATTCCAGGCTGTCAGTTTCCATCTTGCTCTCTTCCCTCCGGCTGTTGTTTCCTACCAATTACCCAGTGACAGCCTAGCAGTTTGGGGGGCACAAGAGCAGTGCACACAGTGCTTTATTTTGTACAGCCTTGATACTTTGATCATTTGCAGGTATAATGACCCATTTGAGAAACACTACTCAGGCTCTACACTTGATGGGTGTGGGGAAACTAAGACTGCATGGGAGGAGGTGGGATTCCACAGAGCTGGGAGGCACTTGGCTCTGGGTAGGAGAGAAACTGTGCAAAGGAGCCTGTCTACCATTCCCCTCCTGATCCTGTCATCCTTTTCCCAGCCAGAAGATGAGCACTTAAGCAACTTCTGCCGTCTGCTAGGAGTAGAGCACAGTCAGATGGAGCACTGGCTATGCCATCGCAAACTGGTTACCACCTCAGAGACCTACGTCAAGACCATGTCCCTACAGCAAGTGGTCAACGCACGCAACGCCCTGGCCAAGCACATCTATGCCCAGCTGTTCTGCTGGATTGTGGAGCACATCAACAAGGCCCTGCATACCTCCCTTAAGCAGCACTCCTTCATTGGGGTCCTGGACATCTATGGGTAAGCCTGCTGTCCAAGCTTTTGCTCCTTCTGCTGGTCATCAATATGCTTCTGTTGGCATTTAGGAGCCAGCAGTGGCCTCAAGAATTTCCCAGTGAGTCTCAACCAAGAGACCTAAAAATATAGGGATATTTTGGTTTGTCAAGATAGAGTCACTGTTGACCTGAGACCAGAGATGCTAAGTGTCTTACAATACAGAGACAGTTCCCAAGGGAGAATGCACCATGTCAAAACTCCAGTACTCCTACCCCACTGATAGATGCTCTAGACATCACTTTTTCTTAAGACAAGGTCTTTCTATATAACTGAGGCTGGCTTCAAACTAGAAATCCTTCTGCCTCAGCTTCTCAAGTACAGACAGGGATTTCAAGTCATCTTGGGCATCCATCTTCACTACTAGAAAACAGACTTTGAGGAGGGCACTGACTTGCTCATCCTCATTCTGGAAGCCTCTGTTAATATTTGTGTCTGTTGGGTTCTAGTTCAGTGTCTCCCTTGGTCTCACTGACTGTCATCCATCAAGGTGATTATTCTAATACTCATTTTTCTCAGTGATGCAGATTGGTGCTATATGTCAGTGTTCTTGAGGTTTCTCTTCTTTTTGGAATCCGGGGGGGGGGGGGGGGGGGGGGGGGACTGAAAGAACTATTATTTGTAGTTGTGATTTTTTTTTCAGGCCGAGGCAGCATAGCATAGAGGAAAGTGTATCTGACTTACTTTCTCTATCCAGGCTGCCACCAGTAGCTGAATGACTACAGATCACAGACTCTTTCTGGTCTTTAGTTTCTGTAGCTTCAAGTGAGATTTGTGAGCCATCTCTCTGAGGCTCTTTCAGATCCATCTAGACTTACTTGAAGTTTTACGAACAGAGCTGTAACCGCTCCCCCTTGCACTTTCCTCACTGCCGCCTTGCCCTCTTTAAGCTAAGAATAGATTAAATTCTCCTAGATCTTTAAATCCTAGAAGTCATGTCTCTGTCTTAAAATAGAAACCCATAGAAATGCAGCATCTTGAGAACAGGGACACTGTAGTGAAGCACAGGTTAGTGGGGTGGAACTGCTGTCACTGACCTGTGGTAAGGGTGGAGTAAAGGAGACCTCCCTTGAAGCAGCCACTTCCTATGTACAGACAGGTTCTCCCAGTTCCATCTAGTGCTGTGGTTCTCATGTTGGACCATACTGCATGTGATGGAAGAGAAGAATGAAACTTTAGAATCACAAAGGCCCCAGGAACATGCTGAAGAGTTAAGTCTTGTGCACAAATTAAGTAGTACAAGGGGCCACAGAAGAGATTATAGAAAGGGCTATCTGGGCGATTTCAAAGTTGAAGATAGAGAGGTCACCACACTTGTTTATGCAGTCAGGGCAAGTTTTATCCAGGAGGTGAGATATGAAGGGGATGGAGAAGATAATGATGACTCTCCCATTTACATCATTTTGAGAACAGGAGTACAGTCAAGATGGGAGGAAAGGCAAGGTGTGAAAGGAAGCCTTGTGGCTAGTGAGGAGCAACCAGAAGTGGGCCATGCACTCCCTCAGTGGCTCTGCGGGGCAGATTCCTTCTCCTTTGATCAGTAGAACTACTATGTGTGCAGTCCTTCTAGTTGCTTTGTGAGAGCATACCGGACTAGAGCTTACTGCACAGTTGTCAGTAATTGATACTGTGTTATTTTCCAATTTGAGTATTTCTCCAAACACTGACTTTCCGTGTTACATTTTGAAGGAAGACCCAGAGAAACCCAGGCTGTAGCATCTGAACCAATTCTCCTAACCTACCCGTTTTACTTTTCTATTGCTATGATAAAATGCCTTTTAGAAAGCAACTTAGGAAGGAAAGGTTTATTTTGGCTCAAAGTTTGAGGTTATATTCCATCACTGCAGGGAAGTCTAGCATCAGGAATCTGGGGCAACTAAGTCACACTGCATTTGCAGTCAAGAAGTGAACATCCATGAACACTTTTGCTCAGCTCACTTTCTCCTTTTCATATAGTTCAGGATTGTAGCCCAGGGAATGGTGCCACCCACAATGTGTGGGTCCTCTCACCTCAGTTAACATAATCAAGATAACCCCCTAGGTGTGCCCAGAGACCTATCTCCTAGGTGATTCTAGATCTCATGAAGTTGATAATTGAGGTTAACCATCGCAACTCCACTTCTTATCAACTTGACATGCAAGAGCATCACTTTAAGTCATATCCTTCCACCTTTGATTCCAAAGTCTCATGTTGATATGATGGGGCAAAAATTCAATCAACTTAAAAAGTTCCTATGTCTTTAACAATTGCAAAAAGTTCAAAGTCCATATTTCATCCAAGACCAAAGGCAGTTCCTTAACTATAAGCTGCTATAAAATAAAAAATGAGTAACATACTTGCAACACACAATAGCACAGAATAAACATCTCCATTCAAAAATAGCAAGGAGTGATTGAACTAAAGCAAGACCAAAATCCAACAGCATAAACACAGCAACTCCATTTCCAGCATCTGGAGATCCTGATGAAACTGGGCTCCAAAGGGCTTAGGAAGCCCCTCCAGGTCTTCTGCCTGCAGCACACAGTCTTTCTCTTAGGCTGACTCTACTCCTGGTTTTTTTGTTTGTTTGTTTTGTTGGCTTGTTTGTTTGTTTGTTTGTTTGTTTGTTTGTTTTTGTCTTTTTGAGACTGGGTCTCCCTGTAGCCCCCAGCTGTCCTGGAACTCACTATGTAGACCAGGCTGGCCTTGAACTTTTTAAGGTGGTCATTCCTGGTTACCTGGAAGTAAACAACACACATAATGCCATCCCTCTGCCTTCTGTAACTGCCTCCTTCCTGATTTAGACTAATTCTAATTCTTAGACTTCCCTTAAACCTAAGAGCCATAAGTCTCTTGAAGGAACATCCCGTTCTATGTGGCATCAGGAAATATATGCATTTGGGGCATTTTCTATCCCTATCTCTAACCATCAACCAATGAAGAGAGAGAAAACTCACTATCTCATTCATTATCAGCTACCTATGGGATTCCTTAGTATCCAAGGAAGATGCCCTTGAATTGATGTCTCTTAATTTCTTACTCTTCCTCATCAAAAAGTAAGAGTATCAAGAGTGGAATCCAAGGCCTGGGGCTATAGTTTTCATTACTCAGCACTGTCAAAAAGGTATCTAGAGAGAAACAGGATGTCTTTGAGTCAGGTTCACTCCATTCTTAAAGAGGGAAGGAGTGAGGGGTTTCCTTCATTTTAGGTTAGAAATGCACAAAGTTAGGAAATAAGAATGGAAATGTTCTTTCACTTCTTACCCCTACCCCTAGTGGTGGCCACTGACTCCTTCCAGTAAGGTAACTATGCAGATGACCTACAATGCCTGTCTAGGATGTTACCCATCACTGAAGCTCAATCTAGGAGCAGAACTCAAAAGAGTACTAAGTAAAGTAACAGACTAGAAGAACAAGCGAGGTATGTTCTGTCTCATTTGTGGATCAAACACAAAATCCTTATATGCAAGTATATCAGTCACTGCTTATCAAAGAAGCTTCTTTTGCAACAGCAGAGTCTAGTACAGAGTTCCACAACTGGTCACACACAGAATACTGTATGCCCCTGGATAGGACTTCTATATTAAACCTCACCCACCCAGGGCTCAGGGACCATTGCAGAAAAGGGGACAGAAAGATTGTAAGAGCCAAGGTTAGTGCATGGCCATAAGGAATCAGTCTTACAGGCTTATAGGAACTTGTTCATATGAACTTATAGCAATGGTGACAACATGTACAAGACCCATGTAAGCTCAATCAGTTAAAAAACAGCATAGAGCTAGGGAAATGGGCATAAGGCCCCAACCTTAGCTGTTCACTCCTGGGTGAGGGAGAGTTGATCTTCTTTAAAGGAGAGACACTAGACAGGCTGATCAGGCTCCAGTGAATGAACTCACACTGATAGACAGCTGGATACACAAACTTGACAGAATACATGAAATCCTGTGAGTGGGCTATGGGGGTTGCAGATAGGGGAGGTCCAAATATGATTAAAATGTTTTAAATGAAATCTGCAGAAATTAAGTAAAAAATACATTGGAAAAATAAACGAAAGGGTTCTGAACTGTGAATGAGCTGCCACACATTTATCTATAAATGTTTAAGATGTTATCACACAGATCAGTGCCCATAATGAAATAAGTACTTATCCAGATATACAAGTGAGTACTACAAAAGCCAGCATCACACTGCATGTCTGTACTTGGCATCCTCTGATTGGCAGGTAGCTTGCAGAGCAGAAAATGTGGCTTCCTCTAGCAAGACTGATAGCCCACTAGCCACTGGACCCTCTGCAGGCCTTCTGAACAGGCCAGTTCTAGACATACAGCGTCTTGGTGTAAGGATGACTTCTTTTCTTGTCTGAGCTCCAGAAAAGTACAAAACTAGCAATATCCAGAACAATTTATGCCAAGCCAAGCTGTTCTCCTTAATAAGGACCTGTGAAACTCCCTGTGGGATGTTTCCTACCAGGCAGGGGATGGACATTGATAGAGGCAGCTTTTGGCTGGATTTTCCTTTCCTGTTGATTAGCCAGTATTTGCCTCTGTTGGCTTCATTAATTGCAGTGATAATCCTTTATTCTCTTCTCTCCTTGAGGCAACAAGAAATTAATAGCTTGATTTGGGGAAAATGCACATTATATTTCTTGTCTTTAACCTCAGCTTTCAAGGTACCAGGATTTGGCTGTGGCCAATTCCTTTGTGTGGAGGACAATGGAGAACATAGTAAATGGACATGTTATGCTGAGGAACAGTGGGGGCAAGGGTAGGGCAGGAGGTAGGAAGTTTGAACTCTGGGAAGTAGGAAATGGATTTGCATTCTGTCTTAGTTTTCTTTCCTGTTGCTATGATAAAATACTTTGACTAAACAACTGAAGAGAGAAAGGGTTTGTCTGCTTACCGTTCAAGGTACAGCCCATCATTGTAGGGGAAGTCAGGGCAGCAGGAGCTTGAAGTAGCTGGTCGCAGTCATTTCCTCAATCAGGAAA